CGCAAAATACTCGGTATGTCATTTTCTGACCTTCAGCAAATAAATGATAATAAATTTTAAATTGATTTGGGAAATTTATTTTAAGGAATATAGTTTTTTAAGTATCATGCCTCACATATTCCAAAATATATTATCTGAACTGAGAGATGATTACAGTGAATTTTCTCTTTAGTAATTGCTAAAAAAAGAATTTATGGGAATTAGCACTTATTAAACTTACAATATGTGCCAGACACTACATTGACTGAGGTAGTCTTGTCACACACACACACACACACACACACACACAGATTCACATATATTTGTATATATTTTCTTTTTTCCTAGTCTCAAACCAGATTTGCAGAGGAAACTTGGAATCAAACCTACTATGCTATGTGCTCAAGGTAAAACAATTACAGTAAAAGAATTATTAATTTAATGAAAGACTTGGCATCTTAAGATAAAAGATATCTCAAGTGATTTAAAATACTGTGGCTTATTTTTCATATATTAAATTTTCATGCCATTACCAAGAAGTATTCCATATTTAAAGAAAAATCTCAGTGAAAATGGACTGAACTGAAGTGTTTTTATAATGTTAGGCCCCAAAATAAAAAACATTCCTTTCTGCTTGTAATCCAGAAAATGTTGAACTCTGATGGCTTTCCACATCTCCCCAGGTAATTGTATTGATATAGGTGCTCTCCTCCAGTGACCCTGCTGTCATTGTTAGGTAGCCTCTTTTAATGGGGAGCAAGGAGGAATTATGTAGAGTGAAATCTTGTGTTTCTTCAAGTAACTAAGCTCTTGGATGGTATGACTCTAAACCTCACAAAATAAGACTATAAATAAGAGAGATGTTCCAAACCAGAATGAGGCCCTCAATTAAAAAAAAACAAAAAACTCTGGAGCCAAAAGGGTAGTTTCATCCTATATAAACAAAATAATAAATTATTAGATAAAGACAGCCAAAAGGCCAAATTTTTAAAATTTCCCCTAAACTTAGGTATTTGAAAGTGAGTAATTAATAAAGAATTGTTATAAACTAGTTGGCATTATTTTTCTGGCATGGTATGGTACTTAAAGGTCATCTAACTTTGTACCCTAATTCTTTTGACTTTTTTTTAAATCTAGGCAATTATTTTAGGCAAATTATTGCAGGTAAATGTTATCTTCTAAAACACATGTGGTCAAAATTTCTAAATGATCATTGAAACATGTAAGAATATTTTATAGATATTTACTGTAAAAATTAAGGAGGGTAGAAGTCATGCATTCTATGACCTTAGGAGAATGGTACCATAAATTAAAACTAGCAGGCATAAATATAGTTTGTCAAATATTGTATAAAGCCTAAAGACAAAAACTTTAATATACTAAATCATTATAACTCTCCTTGAAGTCATTCCTAAAAATTCAAAGCAGGGAATGTCTCAAACATGGGACACAATTATTGTCTAAAAGCATTCTCTATATAAATATTCTTCGTTCAATTTATTTGATTTAGATTTTGTTTTCACAATGTAAACAAGATAAAATCATTTATGCACTTTTCATAATTGATAGTTCATTACATATCCACAAATTGATAACATTAGTCTTCTTTAAAAAATTTAACACTATTTTGGAATATCTTTGAAAAGGAAGACTTCTTAATAAATGTTCTTGCACTGGGTATGGTGGGAGAAGCCTATAATCCCAGCATTCTAGGAGGCTGAGGGAGGAGGATTATACTTATGACCTCAGCCTGGGCAATTAGCAAGTTATTGGAATCCTGTGTCAAAATAAAAATAAATCAATCAATGAGATCGAGATGTAGCTCAGTGTGAAGGACCTGTGTTCAATGAATGCTTGCATTTAAATCATCCATCATGAAAAAAGAAAAAAATCTTAGGTTGTCATTGTTCCCAAAATTGGAGACACATGGGAAAGAATACACCTACTTATATCATGAAGACCATGTCAGTCCATGTCAGATGAGTCCAGCTTAGTTGCAGATCCATTAATGGTAATGTTTTTGAAAGGCACTGAATTGGAAAATAATTATTTTTCAGCACTTTTTAAACACACACACACAGACACACACACACACACACACACACACACACACACGCACATTCAATGGGCCAAAAGTATGAAATAGTTTGACTTGCTCTTTCTTTTTCTTTCTCTTTGTTTTTTTCTTTCGTTCATTTGTTCACTCATTTGTTCTTTCTTTCCCTTTCTTCCTTTCATTTTTTCTAGATGCTGCTTCTCCTTTGCTTTCTTGACCTTCATTTGATCATCCCTGAAATACTTCCCAGAAAATTTCCATAGTAATTTATTTACATTAGCATGGTTTCATATTCTTAATGAGTAATTAAGAAGTATTTTCACATTCATTTAAAAAAATCTAGTCAAGACTAACAAAATTAAATTTTATATCCAATTCATAACTTTGTTGGTTCTCCATCTCAGATTTGGGAGAGTTACACTGGGGAGAGAAAAGCAGAATCTGTTTCTTTAGTATTCTTTTCTCTCTTCTTATTCCAGTTTTGAGTTTTTAAAGTTTTGGAGATTAGGATAAAGTCCATCAGTTGAAGGAAAAGGACTAACTAATCTTTTTTCAAACTGTAACAAGTATTAATTCACAGTGTGATATTTATCCTAAAGCTGTCTCTCTTGGGAAACCTTCAAAGGTACCCATCCAGGCTCCTTATGAGCTTTCCACTGCTCTTGGGCCTTGGTGTAGAAGAGATGCTGCCATTCGTCATCTAAACTCCTCAACGTGGCCCTCAGTTGAAGCATACCATAGCTTCACCTGCTATGGTGCAGAGATGCGATGCGATGAGACATAATAGTTCCAGATGGAGAGAAACAAATACTTAGGTCTAATGTAACTCCCAGGAAGAACAACTATTAGGCTATTCTGAAACATTTTCTCATAAACTCCTGCTGGGATGGTGTCAGCAAAGTTATCCAAGCTCCATTTGGTACCTCAGGCAGTCTTCAGCCACAGAGTGATAGACCAAGTATCACTTTATTCCAAGTACCGTGAAGCACTCTCATTAGTGTGCTGGGTAGCACCTATTATTGTCTCCCAGAACACTCCCCATGACACTGATGCCTTCTGACTATATCAATTATATTACCCTTTGACACTGTGTTCTATATACAGGAAGAGGTAGTATTTAAGGATTATCATGACCAGGTTTGGAGTATGTGGGTGTTATTAATAAGTTAACACTACTAAGCTGGGGTACTTAATGTTTTTTTTTCAGCTGTTAGCTTTAGCTATAATTTTGTAACAATGAAAAAGACCCATTTAACATATTATTAAACTGCAAATTCATATTTAGGATAAAAGTTTGGAAATTAAACAGACTGTGTTGAATCACAAGTTTCAATTACTTAAACTATTTTAGATCTCTTTTGTTCTAACCAAAGCAAAAGGTATCTCCAATTAAATGTTTATTTGTTGAGTAATATTTACTGAGAGTATACTGTAGTTTCTTTGCAAGGTCCTGATGAAATCATGAAAATTAAGAGAGTCCCCAAATGTATGGTTCTTTTATTTTGGAGAAGAAAACAATACAATTAACAAGAAATCAATTTATTTTAAATTGCATAAAGAAGTAGAAACAAAATATAGATAATTTGCTAGACTAGGCATGATTTCCCTAGACAATAGACCAAGATGGCCTCTGTGAAGAGATGTCCTTGATTCTAAAACAATAGCTGTGCTGTCTGAGGGAAAAGCCAGCCAGGCAGAGAGGAGAACAAATGCGCAGCCTATAAGGTAGCAAGGAGTTCGGTAACTCTGTGAAACAGAAAGGTGGGACATGGGGACTGGAGCTCAGGCGAAAAGCAAAAGGTAGATCTGAAGTAGCACCAATGAACGGGGCAAGCAGTAAATTGTGTAGATCATGTAGATCTCTACAGACTGTTATTAAAATTATTCTGCTGAATTATAATGGGAAAAAGGAGAGTTTTAAATAGAAAAAGAGCTTTTAAAAAGACTAACAGCGACTTCCAGCTCACCAAATACAAAAGCCATTTTCCAGTCTGCACTTTAGTCCTCAGCATCATTTGAACAAATTGTTCACTCTTTCCTTCTTAATAATAGTTCTGTACATATTTTCCAGAAAATAACTTGATCCAAAAATCCAAACATGACACCTCTTTCCTTTTCTATCTATACTCAGTCCCTGGTTGACATTTAATCATAAAATTTCTGAATTTTTATTTTCTAGTTTCTGTTTGCTCAAGCCATAAAAACAAAGTACCATCAACTGGGTGGCTTAAACATCAGTGATTTATTTCTACATTTCTGGAGGTTGAGAATTCCAAGACTAAGATGGTGGCTGATTTAGCTTCTGGTAAGGACCTCTTTCTGCTTATGGACTTCAATTTTCTTGCTATTGCTATGTGCTCATCTGGTCTTTCTTTGGGGCCATACACATATGGTGAAATTCACCACCCCCCATCTCTCGATCCCTTGTATTATTTCTTCCAGAACACCTCGAGTTTGACCATTTCTTGCTGTCCTCATCATCACTACTCTGACCCCTAGAGTCACTAAAGACTCAACTCTAGTTATTACTGCAGCCCCTAAATGGTCTTCTGCCTCTGCAGGCTTAATACAGGCTAAGAAAGGTTTTACACTGGTTCTCCCAGATAGAGTCCTTATTTCCTTAGCTCCTTACTCAAATATATATGGCTTTTCCTGGATATCCTAACTAAAATTTTAATCCACCAGTATTTTATATTTTCTTTCCCTTATTTACCTTTTAATGTATTATTTTTCTATAACTACACATAAAATAATTGTTGACATTATGTATTATCATATTATAAACTATACATCACATATGGAGTAAAAGAAATCTGTATACACATTTGTATATCACATATGGCAAACAATATATTAAAATTATTCATTATATTTCTCACCCTTAAAATTAATTTACATGATTTTTTATGATATTCTTACCACATACAGTAGTAGCAGACAGAGGAAGTATCAATAAACTTACCAATAATTCTGGAAGTAACGTAAGTGAAGTCTAAATCTCCCTTCGTGTAGCTGAAAGCGAGACAGGAAAGGACGCTGGTTAAGATGGTCCACACCAGGACTTCCCCGCGATCTCTAGCACACCGGGGACTGGGCCGCTGCTGTCCGCAGCGAGTCTGACTTCCCTCCCCACTCTGTCCACAGGAGACACCTCAGAGCAGCCCTCAGAGAAGACAGCCACACCCAGGGCACAGCTGCCCCCTCTGGCTCCAGTAGCCTCCTGGGGCCGCTTCCTAAACAGAGGCGGTCTGGGAACAGAATCTCTGCTAAGTGATTAACACTGGCTGTTCCAGCCTCTCTGCCTACATGGAAATTTCTTCCCTGAAGGGCAGGAGAAAAAACAACTGAGAAAAAAACAAATGACACTTTTTCTGCCTACCAAGGTCCTGGTTAGGAATTGCAGGAAAGGGGGTAAATGTTGCCTTGAAGCCAATATGAAAATGTTGGTTAACATATTGAACTTGACATTTGAATTTCTGATTCCAAGCCATATATTCAAACGTAAAGTAACCCTAGAGTTGTCACATTTTTTTTTGCAAGAATTTGCATAGTGCAGAAGAGTGAAAAAGTAAAAGTAAACTTCTCCCACTAAATAAGCCCTAAACGACTAGCAGGATACACTAAGTCCTGTTTCGATGACAGTCCAGGGGCAATGCTCACTCAGATGCGCGGTGCCTTACCTCACTCAGTCCTCACGCCACACATCCACTCCTATCGGGGCCTAAAGGTAAAGCTGGAGAACTGATTAGGGCACCTGTGGCCCCATGGGAGCCAGTGCAGACCCTGCCCTGGAATCCAGGACTTTGATTCTGGACCCACGGTGACAGCAGCCATCACACCAAACTGCCAGAGAGCTGAGCTCCTCAGGCTCTGCTGCGGCCCCTCAGGACTCTTGGCTGCAGTGACAGCCCCAGCACGTCAGATCCAAGTGGCTCTATCGCGGCCATGACACTGACCCAAGCAGGCGCCAGCGGGAAGCCAAAGCCCTTGGCCGAGAGCCTGGCAGCGTGCTCACCTGGATACAGACTGTATCACTCAGGAAGAGGTGTCCTTCAGGGTATCTTTCAAGTTGTCCTTTAGGTTACTGAAAAGCCTCCCCGCACCTCCCTTCACCATGTCGAAAAGGCCTCCCCCATAGCTGTGCTCCTTGTCGGGGGACGAGGCACCTGCGGGGAGACAGAAAGGGGGGATGCACTGGTGACAGAGACCCCATCCTGCTTGGTTCCTAGTGCTCGCAGAGTCCTGTCCGCTCTCCTGACCCATCCGCTGGCAACAGCAGAGCTGCCAGCCCTGGGGAACCCAGGGGTCCCTCGAGACAGGAACAAACACCCCACAGCCATGCGTGGCCACCGGGCACCTGGAACACACGAGTCCTCCCTGAGACCTGCTGCAAGGGTAAAACACAGCAAATTCTAAGGTCTTGGTGCTGAAAGGAAGATTAAAGTAGCCCGTTAATATCTTTACACGTATCACATGTTCAAATGACAGTACAGCGGACCCTTGACTTACGAACTCAGTCCATTCCCGAGGGCTGGTTGTAACTCAGGTTGGTCAGTGGAGGCTCAGGCTCCCCTACACAGCCTTCACAGTCTTTCTCCTGCACACAGGCATATCTCAGTGTCCTCAGAGAGACACTGTCCCGGGACTTCTCAGTGAGCCCCACGCAGGAGAGGATGCTATCCTGTTCCTTCCTGACTCTTTAAGGGTTAAGTCTGCATGTGAGACCATCTGAAACCACAAGCAGCCCGCATTCGGGTCATAACTCAAGACTTTGGTTATAAGTTAAAACTAAAATCTGGTAGTAACCCAAGTCGTTCGTATGTCAGGCCAGTCATAACTGGAATGTCCACTGTATTTTAGATCTGTCTAATTTCAGATCTATTGATGTATTAAATATACTGAATGATAGTATTTTGGATCTATTGACTATATGTTGAAATGAGAGATTTCAGATCTATTGAATTAAAGAAATTATACTACTCAATAAATAAATAAATATTTGCTGATTAATTAATTCAATTTACTTATTTTTAATTCTGTAGGGAAATAGATTTTATGGGGCATATTTGTTACCAGTTGGATTTTTTTTTTTTTTGCAGTATTCCAAGATAAAGAAAATGGTAACTTGCTCTGTGGTGTTAATCCTGGAAATTGGGATAAGTGGAATTTCTGGATTGATTAAGGAGCCGAGGTACATAAGAGTATAAATCCTGGGTTTGTTGGTTAGAAGGAAAGCAAACAGTGTGGAAAGTTCATAATCAGTAGGAGATTGACAATTGGTTAAAGGAAATATAGAAATTCCTGTTTGATTACTTCCACTTTTTTTTCAATTAGGTATGAAGTAAAGTTACTGAGTTGTGGAGAAGAAAGAAACAATTTAACAAGTCTTTTTCAAAAGTGAGGAAAAGGAAAATGTTAGGTGATTAGAGTAGAATTACTGGTTAGTGTAGGGCACCTGAAGTTCCAGAGAATTGCTATTTCCTCCACCCAATGATAAAGTTCCCACTTTTAAGCACAAAACAAGTCTACTCATCATAGCCTGTTTATTTCACTATTATTGCTTTCGTTTTTCTTTTCTTTTGCTTATATGAGAAGATAAATGATTTATTTGTGATAAATGCATAAATTTAGGTATTTATTTTACACATATTTGCTCTACTTTCATGACTGGTATGTTCTGGCTAGGTAATCAAAAAACTCGCTTGGGTAATAGAGTTACCAAACAACATAGAAAGGCTGAAGACCCTTTGGCAAGGTTTTATAGTAGAGATTGTAAAGATAGGCACTTCAGAAATGAGGAAATGTGTTTATCCAGCAACATTTCTGCAGAAAAAAATCATTACTCCAGTTTTAAGTATATCAATGAATGATGTTCAGAGCACTGTTAACTTTTCTTCATTAATGTGACTGAATTTTGTTCCTATATTCTTGATGTGGAACTTCACTTCATTTAACTATTTGGACACACTTATTAAAAGCTTTTCTTTCTGCATTAAACTAAAACTGTCAGTCGTTGTCATGAAGAAATTACTGTCACTTGTGGGAGAGATTTGAAATTTAAAAATGGAAGATTGCGTAGATGAAATTCAGTCAAACATTAATTCAAAGGGTATTGATATCTAAGCCAATTGGAATCACAGAGGGAGAAAGAGGAAGGACTCAGTTCAGGAGTCGGCATACGAATAGATCTGGAAGGAGGATCTCATTCCTGTAATGTCATAGAAGGTAGTGAATAAAAATATTTCAAGTGACTACCTACTCGCTTCTCTACCACTCACATTCTTCATCCAGTTAAACTCTTTTGCCATATTTTTTCCTCATCTGTATATTAGCCTTAATAACAGCAAAGCCTGTCTCAAAGATTTGCTCAATGGCTTGCCTTAGATAACTAGTAGCACATTAGACAGCATACATACTTTATATATGTAGTATCTTTTCTCTTAATAGATGATCCATGAAAAAATTTTTAAAAATGTTTAGTTTATTAAACAGTGGCTTCATTTAAATATTAGGGACCTATCAGTTTCATGGACATGTTCCTGAATTTATTTACTTATTTTTTTCTTGTATCAACAGTATTCATTTTGGTCTGAATTTTTTCCCAGAGAATACTGTGTTCTAGGACACATTTCATATTCTCAAGAAAGCACAAGAACCCATTTGAAAATGCTCAAGTCACTAAGTGACAGGGCAAAGAAGCTGCTACCAAATGGTAGAATATTCCAGATGAACTGGTAGCAACAATCCACAGTTGTAATTGTTTTCTTTTTTCAATTTCTATATAGCACAAGGAAAATTTACAACCAAAAATCAGCATAAAATTATTTTCATCAAATTATAGGAAATGAGAATGTATTGAAATGCCAGAACTTCCAAAGCAAGAGAGAATTTGTCAAATACCTATTTTGGGGTCTTTTTGTTTTCATCATAAAATATTTTGTATAACCTTTAGCAAAATTATTTGTTTAGATAGCAAAGCAGAGCAGAAAGATGCATGGAAACAGGTCCGTTCTACATTTCCCCCCAAATATCATCTTATCAAAACCCTGAGAATTAAAAATAAGTATTTTAATTTCTATTTTGTGGCTATCCATTCATAGTAACTAATTTTACCTATCTGTATTCTGAAAATAAAGAAGAAATTGAAAATGTTTTTAGTGCCTGTTTTTCTGTTAAATAAATGTTTTTTTGAGTTTCGTCAGTTTACCATGGAGTAGCCTAAATTTTGTGAGTAGGACCACCAAAATCAATGTATTATGTTTGACCATTTGACTACAGAAGTAGCGATCCAAAGAAAATATAACTATTATTAAGGTTTAGAATTCTCATGGAGTGTTTTATATGCATTTCCCAATTATATATTCCCAAGAAAAAGTAAGATAGATATTATTATTAATAAAATTCCAAAACTATATATGAGAACTGATTCTGGTAATTTAAATACATTATTCAATTTCACATGACTAACAAGTAGAAGCTTTGAACTTTTCTTGAATTTTCATTTCAACCTCATATTCTTTACACTATGCTATGCTATGTCTCCATAGTACCATATCATTTTTATCTTAAATCCATTTAAAAGATATTATAATTAAAACACCTATCTGCATTCACGTGCTGAAAATGCTATCTGCATTCATGTGCTGAAGAAGATACACTTGTTCAGTTTTCTTCACAAAGCTTGGATATTACAAAGAGAACACACAAGAACACGCTCAGGCACAAGTGACAAAAAAACAGTATGCAATATGTATAAATAAATAACAGAAAATCTGAGAGGATAAAATAGACATTGTCAGATTAGAACAGCTATACATAGGAAGCCAAATTTTACCTAGAATTTGAAAGACAGGCAAGATGCCAATAAAATAGAAGATAGAAATATGTATATGTACACAGGTTCAGGTTTGGGAAATCTCTTAACATCTTTAGGTGATAATAAATTGGGTGAAGATTTATTTTTAATGTAAAAGTGTGGGAGATCAGTCCTGAAAATTAAATGCTGAAAGGGCTGGTGATTTAGCTCAGTTGGTTGTTCCACCTGCCTCATAAGCGCAAGGTCCCCAGTTTGATCCCCAGTACAAAAACAAAAAAAAAACAACCAAAAAACAAAAAAAAATTAAATGCTGAAAACAATTTCAGGTAAAAATTTTAAGCTATGGTCTAGAATACATAGAAGAATTAAAATAGTAATTTTTCAAATTTAAAATAATTAAGAAGTCAATGAATGGATAAGAAAAAGCTAGGTAATTATTGAACTGGAATATAAATCAATAAATAATTTCTCAAAATATTGAGTGCTCTGAGATCTTTGAAAATTCTAAAAAATAGTAAAGTGAAAAATTTATATTATAACACAGACAAAGGCACATGTTATAAGCTGTACCATAACAAATTGCAAAGTAATTAGAATAAATAATAAAGTTAGATGAGACATACCAATAAAAATATTTAATAAGGCCAAAATTAAATATAAGGAGAAGAAAACATAAGACAAATCCAAATGAGCCCAAATGTTTTAGATATTTTTACATGTAAATAAATTAAATATTACAATAAAAAGACAAATATAGTAAGACTAAGTTTTAAAACACAAACTATATTCATCATGCTTTTAGGGGATTAAATTAACAAGATTGTTAAAATTTATGAATGTCTGGTATGTGATGGAGAATCACTTGCAGTAATTTATTAAAGAAAATGTTTTCAAGCATGTTAAAATTACAAATCATTGCAAAATCATTATAAATATTATTTCTTAAATTTGCAATATATTTATTTGTATGTCTATTAAAATTAATTTAAATACAATTAAGTTGAGTAATTTGAACTATACAAAACAAGTTGCCAAATATATATATTTCACATATATATAGCTATATTTTCATTACTATAATCAATACAGAGAATATTCCTATCCCCTTTCCCATTTCATGTGTCCATTTGCTTCATTACTGTCTATCCAGGATCCAAGTAAACATTGCTTTGTTTTCTTATTACAGATTTGATTTTTCTTCTATATTATTTAATATGAAAATAGTTGTGTTACATACTCTTGTGTTTATCATCTTTTGCTCAGCATATATTTTTTGTTATTGGTGAGTAATCTTCCACTGATGCATATATCACACTTTTTTATTTATCTACATTTTGACATACATTAAAGGTGTTCTAAGTATTGAATTAATATGAATAAAACTGCCGTACTCATTCATTAGTTTTTATGTGGACATACGTTTTCATTTGTCCTGGATTATACCTGGAATTATAAATATGAGGTGAAACAATTAGTCAATGAATGATGATATAAAATGTTTCCCAAAATGGTTATAACAGTTTACATTCTAATTAACAATATATGAGGATTCCGTGTGTTCCATATCTTTTATAAAGTTTGGCAGTACATATTTTAATTGTAGCCACTTCAGTGGTGTGTGGTTTTATCAAACTTTGTGTTAACTTTGAATTTTTGATGATTAATACTATAGTACATATTTACATGTGTTATTAGTCATTCATATACCTTTTATGACATATTGGTTAAGGCCTGTGGTCATTTTTTGAATTAACTTATTAAGTAATAAACATTTCTTATATATTTTTCATAATATTTGGCATATTTATTGCCAATATTTTCCCAATTAAAAAAAAACTTTTTTTAGATCTCTAGGTATATCATATTTTTGAAGATAGAGCTTTTATTTTGCTGGTTTTATTAATAATATTTGTGTTAATTTTTTCATTAATTTTTGCTCGTTTTTACCACATCATCTTTGGTATTGACACTTTTTATTTTTCTAATTTATTAGAACAGGAATTTAGATCATTTATATAAAATATTTCTTCCTTCCTTATTCCTTTAATGCTAAATATCTTCCTATAAGCAATATTTATTTGCATTCCAAATGCTTGTTATGTTTTGTTGTCTGTATTGTACTATTTTCTGGGTTGACCATGGAACTTAGTGATAGAGTGCATTCTTGGCATGTGCAAAGTTCTTAATCAATCAATCCCTAGCAGCAAAACAAAAATAAAAAACTTTCTAATGTCCTTTATAATTTTTCCTTGAAACATTCTTTGTCAGAAAAAAGTTACTAAAATTGAAATGCTGAATTGAAATGCTCTAGTTAGTATTTATTGCATGCATACTTGAAAAATGTGCACTGTGTGTTGACATCAAATACAGTATTCAGTAGACAAATCTAATACTTCATAATATTTAGATATTATGTATTTTAGTGATGTTGCATTTTTTTCATTCTTAAGAGAGAGTATAGTAAAAGCACCACCATTCAGAAAATTTAAAAAAGTAAACACCAGGCAAAGGAATTCTAAATAATTTATATAGACACTGCCATGCAAGGGATGGTGTATAACTCCTTACTCCTTGTATAATCTGTAAATAATGATGTGCTACCAGAGTACAATATAGGAAAAGAGAATAAAGAGGAATTTTACAGTGGGCAAATCTGAAAAATACAACCTCATCCTGGTATCAAACTGTAAAGTTACATTGCTAGAATGTACTCATGAAACGGTGTGCTGACATGCCACTGACTGCTTGTGGTGTTTTTCCCCCAGAAACCTTAACACAGGTATAATACAAAATAAGATAGTTTAAAGGCTGACATTCTACAGAATGTACTTAAATCGCACCCTTTACACCTGTCAAAGTTGTGAGAATTCTGGAACTCTGAGAAATAGTCTTTGCCAAGTCTCACAAGGCATGATAACTATTTGTTGTTTGTTAAATTAGATAAGATTCTAGATAAAAAGGACTTTAAGAAATAAGGAAGCATGCATAAAAAATTAAACATTGTTAACTATCAATGCCGATCCATTAATTGTTACAAATATATGATCCTTATACAAAATGTTAAAAATAGAAGAGTCAGGTGTGCTGGTAGTGCACACCTGAAATCCCAGCAGTTCGGGAGGATGAGGCAGCAGTATTTCAGTCTGGAGCCAACTGGACAATTTGGTGAGACTCTGTCTCAAAACAAAATTTTTTTTAAAATCCTAGGCATGTATCTCAGTGTGAAGTCTCTGAGGTCAATACCCAGTAACACAGAGACACACACAAACATAGATACATATACACAGTAAGTAACTGGTGATGCAGTATACAGGAACTCTGTCATATTGTAACAATTTCACCCAGTAAACTTATAATTTCTCTCTTCTCTTCCTCACCCCTCACCAAACACACATACACACACACACACACACACACACACACACACACAATTTCATGAAAAAGTAGGAACTATAAAAGAAACTTTTATTATCATTTTAGATTTAAACAACAAAATAAAACAAAGCCTATTCAATGGTAGAGGTCTGGCCTAGCATCCAAATGTTCCAGGTTTTATCTTAAGAACTGTAGCATAACAAAAATGATGTGGGGTGGGTTTAGGTAATACAAAATATAACAGTTATTAAAAGATCTTTCAAACCTTATGAACCAATAGAAGCAGCCAATAAACATGCAAGTATAAAGTCAGATGTTACACAGATGCCAGAAACAGGAATGAATAAGATAGCCCCTTTCCTTATATAAATTTTAGAATAGTGAAGGAGATATAATGTTAATCATGTAATTCATGACCACTGAGACTAAGTTAAATCTGTTAATCATATATCCTATATATACCCTATTACTTACCTCTATGATATATTTTGTCCTTATTAAACTTGGTTTCTTTTCTTTCCCTCTAGTTTGTATAATCCGTGATATTTCTTCCTCATTTATTTTAGTATCTTCAGAAGCTAGTAAAATAAAATTTAGACATGAATTATTAATTGGAGTGTAATTAATATTAGAAATCAGAGAATGAATGTTTACACAAAATTCTGAAAATATTTCAAAAGTTGAGGCTATTCAAAACTGTAAAAATTGCGAGGGGTTTAGCTCAGTGGTTCAGCTCAGTGGTTCTGGTGCCAGCCTCTCAAGTGCAAGGCCCGGAGTTCGATCCCCGGTACCAAAAAAAAAAACTGTAAAAGCTTCCTTGTATAATGTAGACGCCTCTACTTATTCATATTTTTAAGTTAAGGGTTATATTTCAGGTCTGTCTTATAGGACCTCTTCTAATTTGAAACTGCCCCAGTTCCTTGAACAGAATATATTGATGGAACTCTAATAAAAAGATCTAATGTAGAGGAAGGATATATCTAAGCTGTCTTAGTTACCTTTCTCTCCTTGCTGAGACAAAACATCCAACACCCAGGGTCAAAGGGAAAGGGTTCATTTAGCTCACAGTTCATAGAGGTTTCAGTCCATAATTGCCTGGCTCCAAGGCAGGGTCGATGGCAGACAGGCATCGCAGAGGAGAAACAACATGGGACGCACAAAGTAGCAAAATCAACAAGGGGCCTTAATAGTGTCTTTCTGCCCTTTTTGTCTTATTCAAACTACCAGGATTAGGGCAGTGCCAAACCAATCACTCACGTGTAGTGGTTTAGTAATCACACGCCCTTAATCCTAGCATCACACACTCTAGATTCAGTCACCTATGACCTTATAAGGCTTTGGGGGGACACCTAGACCCAAACCATAACACTAAGCTAAAATCTTCCTGAGAGTTTCGCTGGGTAGCTGTCTGTGAAACAAGAAATTTCTCCATAGTTACAGCTGTTGTAAAGAAAAAGTAAAATGAGTAACCATGGAAAAGTTCCAGAGGGTAGAAAATTGCTCCACATAATCCACTGGATATTTTTAACACATACTGAGAAGGCGAATGCAACTTTGCTGAAGACAAGATGAAACCAAAAAGGTTTGTCCTAAATAAGCTGATAGAAGGAAATTTGCCTCAATCTATGTTTCAGAGCAATTTTGGGGGATAATTTTCTTTAGTATAAATACAATAACCAAAGAGAATATATATTAAATTTCACATTACAGTATTACCATTTTCCAGCAAAGTAAAATATAATGAAATACAGATAATGCCCATAATAAAGACTTAGAGCCCTGCAAAAATCATTGTGTTATAAATGAATCTTCCAAGGGCACACAATGTTTTGTTCAATAAACTATTTATTTTATATATGTTGTACATAATTCTATTTCACTAAATTGCCAAACTGGGTCTATCTAGGAAATTGAATAACTAAATCTAATTATTCACATCTCCCATTTGGATTAACCAATCACTTTTTTTAAAGTGTTATTTTTTAATGACACCAAGCTGAGCATGCTGTGCACACAATCTTTAATCATCACGTGGATTCTCATAGCATGTCTGAAAGTTAGATTTGATTAACCTTTTATCAGAAAAAAAACGAAGGTTCTAAAAGATGGTATAACTAAGAAAATCGTCTACAAAATTTTGGCAAGAATACTGAATGAATTAAGAAGGTAGTGAGAGAAAATGTGCTGAAGCAGAGAAAAATATATGTTCTTTATATAAGAGGCAGCTTTTACAAAGCATCTACAGGAAATTGTTACATCTGAGGCCACTTCTGTTTCTTGTTACCTAAAAGCACCCACATCCCTTCTGTTCAATTCCCAAAAGTGGCAAGAATGTCTGCAAGCAAGGAGTCAGATTTAATAAGGAATTCACTATCTCTAAAATGTCTATTAGTAAAAATCAATAATTTATAAATCAATAAAGCATATTTTAGTGTGGCTTTTAAATGACCTTTGAGGGAAAGTTTAAGGGAAGAGATTCAAATATATATATTACATGGTGATAGCAATATTAAACTGCATTTTTTATAGATTACTATTGGAAAACATATTCGTTTGGGTGTGTAAATCATTATTTATTTGTTGAAAGTCACATTTTTTATATTCACAATTTATATTTTTCCATGGTGTGAATTTATGTAAAATGTGGAACCAGGTTAAAAAAAATATGCCACTCTGATACTACTGTGATTGACTCTGTTACATCTGTGAAACTGTATTAACTTTCTGCCTTTAATCTCATGCCCTTGTAATTCATCCTTCACACTGTCTGTGAGCAATCTTCTAAAATGCAAATTGAGTGATTTCCCTCTTTTCCTTCCGAGTCATTCTGTGTTTCTCCACTGCCTTGAAGAGAAATACAAATTACTTCATGTGCCATAGCCAGTGTTCTGGTGCTGCTGCTAGCCAGATGATAACCTTCTCACATCTCCTATGCAATAAACTCCACTGTAAGAATTTTATACTATTAATTGTTGACAGAATGTGCCATGCACTCTCTAGGTGGCCTTTCTCTGTCTCGATTGTTCTGATTCCAGTATCCCAGTGACTGTTTCTGTAGAGGTTCAATTTCACACATCCTTTCTCCTGGAAGATCAGAACTATTCCCTGTTGTGATTGTTCATCTTTTGCACCGTAGTAGAGTTGGTTGAGTGCCTCTTTTGTGTGGTTTACCTCAGACACAGGTCATCACATTGATTGTTATTTTCTATTTTAAAATCAATACTTCCTTGTATATTTTCTACTAGATTCCATGTTTCTTCATGTTGAAACACTAGTAACTTATGTAAGACAAAGATTTTCCTTAATACTAAATATTTGAATACTAGGTTAATCTCTTAAACCAAACAAACAAAATAACAAGAACAAAATACCCTGGACCCCCCACCACAATATTCTAGGCTGTATTTATGCTGCTCAGTTTCTTAAAAGGAAGAAAGCCTAACTAAACCCTTTCATACAGCAACCTAAAGTAGATTCTACTCTAATATAATCCATATCAAAGAAGAGCGAAGTGTTTTGAGTCAATCATTTTATCATGTCAAGAACAATAAGTGGAAGTATGGATCATAACTCGGATGTCTGGTGATCAGTCAATATTAGTAAGAAGTGAGGATGAAAACCGGACAGAAAACCTGAGAAACCAGACAAATGACACTGAAAATGGTATTAAAAAGAACCAGTCTTTAAATTTTTCCAATAATTTTACCATTTCATTAATCCATTCCTACTTTTATATCCTCCACATCAATAAGACTTTTCTCCCTCTCTTCATTTCAGGTTCAAACATCTTCAAATCTTTTCAACATACATCAGTTAAAAACATTAAAATATTTTTCAAATGTCTTTTTCATGCCAGTCTAGCAGTGGAATGAATCAGAGTAAGGCATCCAGAATGACTATGTGGCCAAGTTGCAAGAGAATGGTGTCTACTTTGGGCTGAATTGAGCCTGCAAAATGAATGTTGAATCCTAATCCCCAGTACTTCAGAATGTGACTAAATTAGGAGACTCTTTAAACACATGATGCAATTAAAAGAAGGATTCATGAGTGACTCTTAATCAAATATAACTGTTGTCTTTTAAGGAAAAAGAGGCATTATAGCTGTACACATACTGAGAAAAGGCCATTCACTACAAGAGACATGCTCTGTGAGAAATCAAGCATGTTCACACCTTAGTCATGGACTTTATCCTCCAGAATTGTGAGTAAACACATTTTTGTTGTTTAAGGTACCTTCTGTGTGGTATTTAGTTATGGAAGCACTAAGTTCATTCATGTTGAATGAAGCCCTTTGAGATGTAGAGTCTGAACCAACAGAGTATCTAGCTAAGGTGGTAGTGATGTTCAGGAGATAAGTAAACTGGCTATAGACAAGATTTTGAAAAAAAAATTTTAAATTGTGGAGAGTGGGATAGATAGCCTTATCCCTCCTGAGAACTTGAGAAAATACAAATGAAGAAATAAAAAAGAATATATATAGATATAAGTATTTATGTATATCTAGATATGTTTATAGATACAGATATGAAAATAGATGATATAGACATAGATATAGATGTAATCTGAAAGGACCTGACACCAACAGGACTCTAGTAGCAATGCAGCCAGCTAAAACTAAAATCTTATCTTCTAAAAATTATTCTCAATTAAAAAGAGCTACAAATTCTTGAATTTCTATGACCCTGAATAGCAAAAATTATATAAAAAAAGAAGAAAGCCCTTGACTCACATTTCCAGATAATAAAACTTACTGAAAACAGTGTAAACAACAACATAGGTTAGACATGTAGACCAATGAGTTAGAATGATGAGTACAAAAGTAAAGCCAGACACTGGTGACTAATTTATTTTTGGTAAAAATACCAAGAGCATTCAATAAGTAAAAAAATATTCTGAACCAAATGGTGTTAGAGAGTTCATGCAAAACAAGTGTGGCCTTGACTTATAAACTCTATTTGTTCACAAGGGCTGCTTGTGACTCAAGTTGGTCAATTGAAGGCTCAGGCTCCCCTACACAGCCTTCAAAGTCTCTCTCCTGTATCAGGCAGATCTGTGTCCTTAGAGAGACATTGGCCCAGGATTTCTCAAATAACATCACACAGGAAGGGATGTTGTAATGTTCTTTCCAGAACTCTTTAAGGGTTATCTTTATCTGAGACCATCTGGAAGCACAAGCAGCCACCATTCATGTCATAACTCAAGACTTTGGTCGTAAGTTAAAACTAAGATTCCACTAGTAACCCAAGTTTTTCTTATGTCATGCTGGTTGTAAATCAAGGGTTCACTGTATTAAAATTATACCCTCTTTTGTACCATAATGAAAATTTACTCAAAATATACCTCTGCTTCACAGAATACAAAATTATTAATTTAAAAAGGATCAATGACCTACATATAAGAGCTAAAACCATAAAACACTGAGGAAAAAACAGGTGCAAATTCTTAAAACCTTAGTTTGGTAATAGATTCTTAAATATGACAACAAACACATAAGCCACAGAAGAAAAAAATAAAGGAATTAGATTTCATCAAAACAAACTACTCTGTTAA